CGTAGGATCTACCCTAACCTCGCAATAAAATAAATTGGAGAAAAGAAACATTAAGAAAATCAGAAAGGAAACCCGCTTACGGCCCCACACTGTATTTACCGCATACAGCCGACAGCCGTGCTGCTCACGAGTCAAGGGCACGCCAAAATGCGGCGGTTGTGTTGAACTAGCGGAATCATGGGCAAGTTCTCCGTTTATCTAAAGTTTGTACTCGCAGTTACGTCCTTGTACAACAAACATTCTCCTCCAAGTGCCAATTCTCATACAATAGTGCAATTTTATTGGTTTGATTACAACTCACTGGTTAAGACTTGTGAGCAAACTTTACCAGCACAAATCAGGTATGAAAGATTCTCAGGAGACCCACATAAACGGACTTCTAATCCACAAGTCTCTCCAGTCGGTACCGAACTTCCCTGGAATTAATCCAGCATCACATAATTTCCCTTCGCCTCCGCTGAGCACACAACCTCCAAACGGGTCAGGAGTCCTCGAAAACCCCACCAAACACCGCTCCACAGGCAGAAACAGCCGGTGGGCTCCCCTCCAGCAACCCAGCCAAGAGAAAACGTCAAGTGTGGCATCAGAGTCCCCAGTAAGCCAAACAACAGACAGGACATACATCTCAGCCATTCTGAGGACCCTGGGCTAGAGGGTATTTCAATCCTGTTTCAACAAAGAGCTTCTACCCATGAAGTCTGGTTACGGTTTTTGAGTGATTCTATAATAAAAACACAGAGAGAGCGAAAACACGGCAGCTCCTCAGAGGGCAACAGGATCAAGAGTCACGCTCTCCAAATACTCTGGGGGCCAGGCGTCCCCCTGCGCCCCCGGCGGGCCCCACTTCACACCCAGGCCACCCCTCCAGTCTCTCCCCAGCAAGCAGGATGAGCAAACATCTCTTTTTGTGTTGCCTGTTTCTTAGGAAGGAAAAAATATCAAAACAGAATTCCCCCGCCCGTAACACATCACTTTCTTGCTAACCACAAATTCTGGCAAATCTGTTCTACATAATACTGATTCCGTTAGTTCCTCTTTCTTCAAATTGACACATTTTACCTTGCAAATTGTGTATGTCTGTAGGAGAGAGTTTAAAGGCCAGCAAAGCAAACTTAAATCGTATTTCCACGCTACCGTTATCAAATGAAAATACGATACTATCCTTAAAAAAACTTCCGATAAAAATTCTTTTCAAACGTCTCAGCCTTTTCTACAAAGCAGATCTTACTCTAGATCCTGGGAGGTGAAGAAAAATAATAGTTTTTGCCTACTGGGGGCTTACAATCAAAATGTGTGTAGTGATGGCAAGGAGGATGGACAGGAAGAGTTTTTTTCCGGAATGCAAACAGCACACTGAGGTATAATTTAACCCATATGCATACATGTTATGTGACAGCTCAGTGAATTCTGACAAACGCACACCCAGAGAAGAAGCAGGCGAGGGGTGGTGGCGGGGCCAAGAGAGCAAGGAAATCGGCCAGGCATGCAGAGAAGGTGGGTGCCCATGTGCAGGAGCTCAGATGATGAGCAGAGCTCAGCCGTGACCCCAGAGAAAACCAGGAGACAAATGGCTGGGAGCTTCCTAACCAGATGGAATGTATGGAATGCCATCAAGTGAGCCACTCCAACAGAAGTGAAGCTGGTTCCTCCGTGTTCTCAAGACAAATTTAGGTCCATCGGACTGCAGAAAGCGGGGCCGCGATACGCAGCAGTCGGGTGTGTGTTTTTTTATCAGGGTAATCTCAAAAACTCCAATTACACAGTCACGCATCTCTCACATTCATTCCTTGCCATTCTGACTGTGTCCCAAGTGCTGAGCTTTAGAACCTCCCAACAGGCCCTGAAATTAAATCTAATCCTGCACAGAGAACAGGATGTTCCCATCGGACACTGTAATAGTAACAATTTTAACACAAAATCCCCAAAGGCCATGTGTTCAAAATGAAAAAATGCACGGGACAAATCAATAAGGGAAAAGACACACTCCTGAGAAAATGGGCAGGAGATACGAACGGTGAGTTCAGAGAGGCCGCACAAGATGAAACTGTGGCAAGAAACTAAACCCCAATAATACTAGAAGAAATGAGGTCCAAACAGAAATGAAACACTTTCTGATTATAAGTCTGAAAGGAGTTTGTAAGAATAGCAGGTAGCGTCCAGGAGGTTATGAGGAAGTGATGTTCTTAACACGGCACACTACAGTCACAGGGGCAATCTGGCAGGACCCGCCAAGAGGATAAGGGGTGGGTGTCTGCTAAGATGAAAGATGTGCACACCCCACAAACCAAGGATGCCACTCCCACTGCTCGTGGGAGGCATAATAATGCCCCCCCCAAAGCAGTCCACAATCTCAGCCCTGGAAACGGAATCTGTCGTTTCCACGGTAAAGGGGAACTAAGGTAGCAGCAGATGGAATGCAGGTGGCCAGCCAGCGGCCCTTAAAATAAGCCACAGGGTGTGGATTATCCAGGTGGGCCCAGTGTCATCCAGGGGTCCTCAAAAGTGGAAGAAGTAAATAAGAAAAGGGAAACCAGAGAAATGACAGCCTAAGAAAGACGTGACCCATGGTTGCTGCAGAAAGGGGACCAGCAGCCAAGGAATCTGGGAGGCGTGTGCAAGCTAGAAAGGCCAGAAAATGGATTTTCCCCTGGGACCTCCAGGGGAACGCAGCCCTGCCCACACCTGATACTAGACTTGGGAAACCTACTCTGGACTACTGACCTCCATCCAGATCTGTGAGATGACAGATTCGTGCCGTTTAAGCCACCGCATTGGTAGTAATTTGTTACAGCAGTGGCAGAAAACTAATACACTGACTTAGGGGAATGTGGGCACATGTGCTTGAGGAGATCCACGTTTCCTAAGTCCATATACGTATAAAACATAAAAACAGGACAGAATCCATCCCAAACCAGTAACGTCCCCTCTTGTAAAAAGACAGTGATAGCCATCAGTGTGAGAATTTCACTTAATGGCTACTATTCTACTTTTTTTTTTTTTAAGAAAACCCATTTGTCCACATATAGCTGAATTGAAAGTTACATTTTTAGGGAGTTACTATTCACAGATTGAGCTCCAAAGCATTAGAATATAAGACTATTTAATGCCGAAATCCAGGGAACACCATTTTCTCTGAAAATCCCAAAAGCGCTACAAAGACCTAGACCTCACAGTCCCTACAATCAATACCACGAGTGGGTTCTGCCTATGTGGACGGAATACCAGAAAGAAACTCCATTCTACACTCGTAAGCACAAACCCTTCGACAAATCAAAATCAGCCTTGGTTACGGTGTGAGATAGACATTTATGGTCTACGGATAAGATTCAGCCTCAAACCCTAGGTTTTCTGACTCCACCTCCCGCCCCAGCCATGACTCCCACCTGGACATGCCTCCTTAATACTTGCCCACTTTGGCCAAGTCACTTGCTTCTGGGTTTTATTTACCCCAGTGTAAAAAAAGTTTGTTCTGGGGCGCCTGGGTGGCTCAGTCGGTTAAGTGTCTGCCTTCAGCTCAGGTCATGATCCCGGAGTCCTCGGATGGAGCCCCACAGCCAGCTCCCTGCTCCGTGGGGAGTCTGCTTCTCCCTCTGCCCCTCACCCAGCTCGTTCTCTCTCTCCCTCAAATGACTGAAATCTTTAAGAAAAAAAAAAAAGAAGAAGAAGAAGAAGAAGAAGAAAAGAAAAGGTTTGTTCCACCATTTCACCTGCCTGATAGGACAAAGGGTTTTAAATGGAATGAAATGACACAGCATAACCCAACAGTCCATGAACCCCACTTGGAGACTCACCTGGCTATAGAACAGTACTCTGTAAACAGGTGCTGCACTGTCCGCAGGGTAAGCACGCCTAATAAAATCACCATAGCCCCAAAGAAAGCCAACTACCATGGTTATTCCCCCCGAGTCACAGGGAGCGCAAGCTTGAGAGCTCGTACCATCCAGAAATGGCAGTCAATGGCTGAGTCCCGCGGGACACGTCTGCCACAGCGCCCATGCCTACGAAGAGACCCCCGAGGCCCCACCACATCCAGCAACTGGGAACTGTTTCATAATCCCAGCGTTAATAAGCCAATGACAGCCTCCCATTCCCAAGAGTGACAAGCCAAGGGGTCCAGGCTGGGGCCCTGGGACGGGTGAGGTGGACTGCCCACGCCAGGTTCAAATGTGTGACCTCAAGAACACAGTGTTCTAAACAACAGCAAGAGCCATCACATGCTTCCCCTTACACGGCTACAAATGAAATGAAAAATAACTAAAAACCAATTCTGGAGGTGGGGGACTTCATTCCGAACGCAGACTCACCCACAAGCTTTTACTTCAATGGACCCAGTCCAATGTCCACCAGCAACTCCCGCAGCTTCCCAGCCACTCCCCTGCCTTCTCTCCCTAATGAATAAACACTCTGGGAGCCCTCCAGGGGACACCTCGCCAGACCCTCTCCCCAGGCGGAGTCGCTCAGCCTCGTGCCCCATCCCAACCTGCTCCAAGCAGCAGCAGCAACTCCAACCAACACCGCCCCTGCAACTGTTCTCCAGTTAGAGGACTAAAGCAGGGAACTTTTCAACACGGAGCATCCTAGAAAAGCCAAGCCTCGCTCACGCTTTTCTGTGCTGACGCTCATCCCCGGGGCAGAAGCGCTGAGGGCGAAGTGTGTCCTGGCTGCGGACAGGAACTCACAAGTCCTGGCCGGCGCGATTTCTTGTCCGAGCCCCGCCAAGTGCCGGGGCTGCGCCCCACGCGGCAGGCCAGGGCGGCACCGCGGGGAGTGGAGTGGGGGGACTGGGGGACGGGGGGGCAGGCCTCCGCCCCGAGGGGCTTTCACAGGGAGGCGCGGCCCGGCAAACCTGAGCAGGTGCTCGGGTCCCCCGGCCCGCGGCGCGCTCCGCAGCGTGGCAGGGGCGCGCGGGGCGCCAGCGCGCAGCCAAGGAGCCGAGGGCCGCGGGGTCACAGGGTGGGGGGCCAGGGCCGGGCGCGATAGCAAGAGACCGCCAACCGTACCTGCCGCCGGCGGGTCCGCCTCTTCGTCAGCCTCCGCCTCAGCTGCCGCCGCGACTGGCGCCGCGCCTGCCTCCCCGAGTAGCCGGTCCATCACGCCGCCAGTCATGTGAGCGCGCGCCACGTGACTTCCTCCGCACCCGCAGGCCCGCTTCACCACGCCCACCCCCGCACGCCCCGCCCGGGCCCCGCCCAGTCACGCCCTCGCCACGCCCCTTGTCCGGCCTCGCCACACCCGCTCCGGGCCTGTCACGCCCCTTGCCTGACTTCACCACGCCCACCCCAGGCCTGCCACGCCCCTAGTCCGGACCCTCAACGCCCCGCCACGCCCCGCCCCGGCCACGCGGCCACCCGGAGGGCTGGCCTGCGCTCCCGCCCGCGCTCCCGCTTCCCGCCGCGGGCTCGCAGCCGGCGCCGCTCGCCCACTCGTTCAGCCGCCGGTCGTCACACTCACCCCCTTGTCCGCTTACTCCGACTTTCGCGTGGGCCGCTCCCCACCCCCGCCCCCCGCCCCCCCGCGTCCCTCACTCACCCTGCAACCCTCAGCCCTTCCCCTAGGCTCTCGCCCCGCCCCTCGTGCACCCATCCCCCACCCACTCATTTGTTCCCCCACCCACTCATTTGTTCCCCCACTCGCATTCTTGCATTTATCCACCCTCCCACCCCGGCTCACTCACTCACCCCCCTCGCTGGCTCGCTCCTTCACTCATTCGTCCACCGCCCCTTACTCACGCACACACTCATTCACTCCCACGCTCGCTCGCTCACTCATTCATCCGTCCCCCGCCTTGCTCTCTCACTCACCCACACACTCACTCGCTCATTCATCCCGTCTGTGGCTCGCTCACTCAATCACTCGCTCATTCATCCGTCCACTCACTTGCTCACCTGCTCTCTCGCAAACCCGCCTTACTGTTCACACCGCACACACACTACCCCTCCCTGACCCGAGCGCAGGCTGCCCAGTGCTGGGAGCCCAGGACACCTGGGTCCATTACATACTCCGCCCCCCCCCCCATCTGGAGGACAGGACAGCAGAGGAAGTGTCCTGGCTGTTGGAAAGTCACACTGTGGGGGCTCAGGGAAGGGATGAGGGGACCCCTGGGTGAGGCAGAGGGGATGAGGAGTTAAGCAGGAGGAGAAGGCAGCAGCCTCCAGCAGGCACAAAGGCCCTGAGGCATCATCAAGCAGCTGCAGGCACTGTGGTCCTCCTGGAGCTAAAAGTGTGGGTGCAGAAATGGCAAAAGAGGAAGCTGGAGCCCCAGGAAGGGCTCCATCCAGGAGGCCTCCTTTCCAAAGCAAGGAGCTGGGACCTCCTGATTCTGATGCCTACCAAAGTCCCTTGGGAGCTGGTTACAGCGATCAACAGCCCAGCCCTAACCCATCTGGGTCCTTCCCCAGGAAGTCCCTTCTCCTTCCTACAGCTACCAGACCCTGCTCTGGTTACACATCACCGCATCCAGGACGTCCCTGGGAGCTGACACAGTCAGAGACACTCTCTCCCTCCATAACCTAGCAAGTGCTGGCCCCTGCTACACATGGGTTTCCCCAAGTCACCGGGGGGACACAGAAAGATCCTGTGACACACAGCCCCCCTCTGATGCTGCTTCCTTCCACCACCCTGGCCTTGCTTTCAGCTGCTCTTGCATCAAATGATGAGCTCAGCACTTTCCCTGACTCCGCATCTCTCCACCCCCGAAACACACAACCACACACAAACACACACACACACTCTCTCTCTCTCTCTCTGTTAACGTCCCTGTATTAGTCAGCATGTATCTCTGTCCCTCACTAGATGATAGTCTTTACTAAATATCTAAGAGTTCACTGCATTTTCCAAACTGTAAAGCATTATACGATACACAGATAGACATTATTCAAGAATGATAGCATAAGTGTATTATTTTAACACCCCTGACACTGACCCACACAGCCTCTAGCTCAGCGGTTCTGGGGTTCTGGATCTTTGCTGTGCTTTCCAGTCACCTGGGGAGAGTTCGAATATACTCAGCCCCCAGAAATTCTGATTTGATTCATCTGGGGTGTGGCCCAGACTTGGTGGTTTTGTTTTTGTTTTTTTTTTTTTCCTTAAGCTTCCCAGATGATTCTAATGAGCAGCCAGGTGGAAGACCACTGCTCTACGTTGAAAGTTTTATTCCTGCAAACATTGCCTGGGCATTTCCTAGGTACTGGATTTTGTGTGGTGGGGGAGGAGGGCGGGGAGCCGAAGGGCAGGATTCTCAAGGCAGAGCGAAGCAGCTGTTAGGGCTGGAAACGTACGTGTTGTGGGAAGAAAGGGGGACAGGCCGTGGGTTCTGACGTGACCCGTTCTGAATGCCAGAAAAGGGAACTCGGTCCTAACAGGTGGTGGGCTCCATTGCCAGGTATCTCCAATGGTTAGAAAGTCCTCGGAAATGTGCACTGAACTATGTCTGCCTGCAACTTCTTTAGATCCTCACCAGGAACACTAATCCTTACACTATTTCTCTTTCATTCGGGGAACAGCAAGTAGAAATCAGAATTTCTGGCTTTTAAAACCTTTCAATTAATGGCAAGAATCCAGTTGCATTAAGACCGTTCCGGGGCGCCTGGGTGGCTCAGTGGGTTAAAGCCTCTGCCTTTGGCTCAGGTCATGATCCCAGGGTCCTGGGATCGAGCCCCGCATTGGGCTCTCTGCTCAGCAGGGAGCCTGCTTCCCTCTCTCTCTTCCTGCCTCTCTGCCTACTTGTGATCTCTGTCTGTCAAATAAATAAAATCTTTAAAATGCTCTGAGTACTGTATCCTCGACTATTCATCTAGCTGATGTATTTGTCAGGATAAGCGATATCATGCTAGTGCATTTCCGCAGCCTGAAATAACAAGGCAATTACACTCACCATAGTCTCTCGGAAACCCAGGACGATGGAGCAGCCACCGTCTGGGATTTCTGCCATCGTGACCAAGGGAAAGCGCCCCTGGAGGTCCAGCGTGAACACCGAAATGCTCTGGCCCAGAACTGACACGACGTTCCACTCATGGCTTCTTGGCTCTGCCCACCCACGAGAGAACCGAAGGGATGACATCACCCTGTGCCTGGAGGACAGAAAGCCAGAAATATTTTGCAAACAGCGGTCAATACTAACCACACTAACCAAACTAGCGTTTATTGAATGCCTGCCTACTATGTGCCGAGCCCTTTTCTAGGTGCCTTTTATCGGGAGGCTCCTCGACGCCCCACAGTAAATCTTATGAAATAGCATAATTGTTTCCATTTTCCAGACAACAAAGGCGGAAAATCCACATGCTGAGATGGCAGAGCTGGTCCGCAGAAGAGCCAGGATTTGAACCCGGCCTGTCCGGTGCCAGAGACCACCCTCATAGTCCCTGTGGCATTATTACCCCGTGCCATAGACCCAGCCGTTACCCCTCAACACTCTCACTGTGGAAATTCCAGCCCCCCGGAACCTCTTGTTTGAGGAGGCTTGGGGCGCCAGTGGTGTATGGCTCTGTAAATCATACCGGGGGGGGAGGGGAGAGGAGGGATTCTAAAGGCAGGGAAAATGGTAACAATGTCATGGATAATATCGACAGCCCCCAAACGTTTATTCAACTCCTATGTGACAGGCTCCGTGCTGAGTGATGAACCAGTACCAAATCACTTCATCCCATGAAGGTCATGAAATCAGACCCTCCGGGGGTGCGTAGCTGGCTCAGTGTGTTGAGCGTCCCACTCTTGATTTGGGCTCAGGTCGTGACATCAGGGTCATGATCTCAGGCGGTGAGATCAAGCCCTGTATCGGGCTCTGTGCTCAGCATAGAGTCTGCATCTCTCTCTCCCTCTCCTCTCCCCCACCCCGTCTCTCAAATAAATAAAATCTTTAAAAAAAAAATCAAATCCTCCTGTGACCCTCTAAGATACCTTCTGAAGTGCCCATCCTAGAACTCCCACGTGAAGGAAAGAGATTTGCTCACACCCTCCAGGAGCCCTGGGAAGGTTTAAATATCACAACAACATGTGTTCTCTTCTTTAGACGCTGGACAAGCTACTTGACTCTCTTTAGCTTCTGCATGCTGGTATATCAAGTGCAAATATCAGTGGTTCTTTATTTCAAAGGTTTGTTCCCCAAAGGGTAAGGTTTAAATAAGAGATGTCTTCTGGTAGTCTGATGCAGAAGAACATTCACCCTCCTTCCCCAAACATACAGATGTGCTGGCAAAAATTGTCCCCTCCCCCTAAGATGTTTTTAATACGTTCCTGGCATCTTTTTTTTTTTTTAAGATTTTATTTATTTATTTATTTGACAGACAGAGATCACAAGTAGGCACAGAGGCAGGCAGAGAGAGAGGAAGAAGCAGGCTCCCAGCTGAGCAGAGAGCCCAATGCGGGGCTCGATCCCAGGACCCTGAGATCATGACCTGAGCCAAAGGCAGAGGCTTAACCCACTGAGCCACCCAGGTGCCCCCATTCCTGGCATCTTAAGCAAGAAAGTGTACCTGATACAGGAAAGATTTTTTTAAGTTACAGCAATGAACTAGAGTGGAGACCAAGTGACGCATAGAGCTTGAGACGCGATCACAACACTGGGAGCCTGGGTTCCACGGCCAGAGATCGAGACGGCTGGAGAGCGAGGGTTGGGCCCCAGAGAGGATGGGATATGGCCCAAACCTCCCAGAGAAGAGGAGAACTGACAAGGAGCTAACCTGCCCACCTTGAGAAACAACATGGGAGCTGGCTGTCCACACCAGACCAAGAATGCAAAAAGAATGGCCCTCGAGGTGACCCCACTCCTAGGTACTTCTGCAAGGGAAATAAAATCATACACCCACCCAAGAAGGCTCATTCCTCGAAGGCTCCCTCAAATAGCTAAATTCTGGAAATACCCCAAATGTCTGTTAACGACAGCCTGGGCGAGCATATGGCCGTGGAGACACACACAATGGCATGCCACACGAGAAGCACACAATCCTGGCACTGGTATGCACGAGGGGGCTGTCGCTATCCAAGCCCCTGCAAACTGTGCAACAGGCTTCCGAGGTGGGTGATGGGCAGAGACTGGAAGAATTCCGAGAAGCATGAGAGAAAGAGCCTAGATTACCACGAACAGATTGTCAGCAGACACGAGCGTGTTAACAAGTC